ATATATATATATATATATGTATCATCTATACTTTAGTTTGATTTGAAATTGCAACATTGTTGAAGCGGTGAAAAGTGAAGAAGATCGGGAAAATAGAAAATAGAAGGAAACGAATAATGTTTAAACATTAAGCTGTTTTTAAGTTCGAAGAGAATATAAAGTTTTTCGAACTTACATTTTTTTTTTTTTTATGAGATGAACCTTCTTCGAAAGAAGAAAATAAAAATAGGAGAAAAATAGATGAGAATAAAATAGAAGATATCCGAAGAAAATAACTTCTACTGCGGATGTTTGACAATTACTAGGATCAATGACAAATTACTAAGAATCTAATTAACAGTGAGAATCAGTAACATACGTAGATAATTTTCAGTAATTCTCAGTGAAACAATTTTGACATTATTAAATTAACAACTGGAACTAAAATGAAAGAAAGAAACATGAAAGCTTTGTGGCGCAGCTCGGATACTGCCAAAAATCTGGCAAACTACAATTATTTGGTAAGTAATGATGATTTGACACTTTTTCACAAATTATAATAATGTTTAAAATAAACTACAATGAGCTTACAACTTCGTGAAAAATAAATTCGTACAACAAATTTTATGGAATCGTTGTAGGGATTGTCGAATTTTACGAAAAATAATTTTTCCGGCGTTTACAAAGACGTTCGAATTTGCAAGATTTTCAAGTAGAAAAGTATCCTTGCTCCCTTTTTTTTAAAATGATGTAAGAACATTTTTGGGGAAAAAAGAAGTTCGTGAAAATAAAGACTTCGTGCTTTACAAACGAGTCCATGTAGATTGTTCTATGATCTTCGGTACGAAATTATAGTTTAAAGTATCGACAATTTTTGCGCTTGATGAACTTTCTTGACGAAAAGTTTGTGACAAAATTTTTGAAATTGCTTTGTAAGAAAAAAAATCGCAAGATAATCCAATTTTTTTAAAGCGTGAAATTTCTATTTTTACAATACTAAGTTTTTGTTCCTTTCAAGGTTGTATCTACAATAATTTTCACGAAAAATTTTTCAATTTACTAATATTTTTCAATAACATTTAATACTAATATTTTTAATAATTAATATTAATATTTTTCAATCCTCAATTTACTAATATTTTTCAATAATATTTAATACCAATATTTTTAATAATTAATACTAATATTTTTCAATCCTCAATTTACTAATACTTTCCAATAATATTTAATACTAATATTTTTAATAATTAATACTAATATTTTTCAATCCTCAATTTACTAATACTTTTCAATAATATTTAATACTAATATTTTTAATAATTAATACTAATATTTTTCAAACCTCCATCATTCTTTTTGCACGAGCATTTAAAATTTTCGCAATTCTTTTGCGAAATAATTAATAACGTCTAATTGGATTTTAAATTGAATTTTAAATATTTCTATTAGCGTCTAATTAATTTAAATTTTAAATAAACGAGAATCACAGTCACGATGATTGAATGTTGAAAATAATCGGACTATTTTCTTTGAAAGTTCCGTATTTCAAGGTGATATACGAACATCACGCAATTCCTTCTGCAATTTTCTTCGATTCTTTTCATCCAAGTTTTGCGCAAGTTTACTTTACTTTGATTACTTTACGTTAGAATCATTGACGAAAGCTAGCGAGAAACGAACGTTTACTCAATAGTGTCAATTAGCTTTGCAATATGCTAATCAATGATTATTACTCGTTGAATTCTTCTCACGATGCGGGAGAAATTGATCCTATGTTTCACTATAAAAAAAAAAAATTATCGAACGATGTTAACGATCGTGTGATGCAATGTTTCTACAAATACATCAATCTTTCATTTTGCGAAATTTGTAAAATTTCAAAATGAAATTCAAAAGCATTGGAAATAATTCAAGATTAATCTCAAAGAATGTGCAGTGTATAATATAATAACTTTGAGAAACTTATCTCTTGGAGAAATTATTTTAAATACCCAAGAGTGATTTTTAATGGATTAATTTAGAGATCTCATGATTAAGAAACAATTTCAAATTCTATTTTTTAGTTTTGCAATTGAGTTTATTTTTTCTCGAATCGAGGATACTATTAACTTGTAAATAGTAAGCAGAGCTGGTTTCAGTTCTCAGTTTCTTAAACAATTAAAAATTCCCATTCTTGGAAGATTCAAAGCCACGAAACTTTCTTAAATGCAAAAATTGACTGTATTCCATTATTAGGCATTTAAGACACATTAGGGATTATTCTCTTCTTAGATCCAGGATTTACAAAAAAATCAATCACTGTATCCAGAATCTCTAGTATAGCTAGCGAGTTTACTAGTCTTTGATCTCGATTTTTTTAACGACTCTTAATTTCATTAAGCATAAAATGCTTTCTCTGTGAAGCAATGCGTTCTCTTTCGCAAATACGACGTAACATTGTTCTTTAGATTTACATTTTATTTACATTTGTTGTATTTATTATTTGTTTTGCACTATTATTATTGTTTTTCATTTTCTAATGGACATTTCCCGTTAAATAAATTATTCGTTTATTAATTTATTTAACAGGAAAAGAAAAAAGAGTACATAAAAAAGTGATAATAAAAGCACAAGATTCAATTGTCAAATTATTAACATTTATTTATTTTCTTCCTATAGGATGTAATAAACCTGGTGATTCAGAAGTTGCTGAAATACAATCTCCTCCTGTTATCCTGTATTTTGACGCCAATTTTAAGGCTGCAGCGCTTCAAGAAGCAAAAAAAAATACCGACGATTAAGAATCACCTGTTGCTGATCTCGGCGACGAAAACCGCGCGTAGCATTCGTAGAAAACAAGTGAGATTACGTAGTTACTAGAAAAAAAATGCTAATTAATAACTAATCAACAACATTCTTTTTTTTTTTCTATAGATCAGCAGCGAGGAAGTGGTAACAGCTTACGTGGAGAGATGTATGGCCGTGAATCCTGCATTAAATGCCATCGTCGATCAGTGCTACGATAGAGCCATTAAAGAGGCGCGAGAGGTCGACGAATTTTTAGCGAGCACGTCGATAACCGAGGAAGAGCTTGCTCGTGAAAAGCCTCTTCTTGGCGTACCTATAACTGTGAAAGAAAGCTTTGCTGTTGAAGGTTCGTTTAGTGGTCTTATGTGATGTCATATTCAGTTGTACTCCTATTTCTTTAACGAATCATATCCTCGAGCAAAATGGTGATCAATCAGAAAAAAATTCGTTGAATAAACATTCTATGACTTGTTCAATTCATTGTCCACAGCATATTTAAACACAGATAACGCGGTTGTTAAGTTTCTGAAACATACAAAACATAGAATTAGTACAAAAAACAGTACCTTCTTTTTGTAACTGAGAGAAGTATGTTAAAAAAATAATTTGTATAAATATAAAACAATAACCACGTATTATTAGCAAGCGAAAAAAATTCTTTCACGAGACGTTCCCTCACTTCCGGTAGGCATTGTTCATGGCTCCAGATTAATTCACAAGACAGGCGACTTATCAGCTCGTTCCACATGACACTGTTCTATGCTTCTAACAAGTCGCAGGAAGGGAAAGATCTTCGTTCTTTAGATTTTTCAAAATGTTTCAGACAATTAAACATCTGGGGAACAGGATACTGATAAACTACACTGTTCTTCCTGCAGCAAGATCTCTCTTCAAGTACAATGATATAAAAATAAAAAAAAACACTTCTCGGATCCTGAGAAATTAGAGAATAGACTGAAGATTAGTCTATTCTCTAATTTTCAAACTACGTTGTCGGAAAGTCACGTTATACGGAGGTTACCTGTATTTTAGAACTATCCAGTGTCAAAAAGTAAGACGTAATTTTAATCGTGATAGAAATATCAAATTACCGAAGCGAGCAAAAAGAGATGCCCGATTGATGATTCAACTGAACGGTACATTCACAAATAATGACGTCAACGACCTCTCTATTCTATATTCTTTGTCTCTGTTCTTTATCCTTTATTTTTTCTCCACTTCTTCTCAGATAACGGAATATCGTGAACAAACATTTTTTACAATGTTGAACCCATCCGAGGGAACGTCGATGAGAAACCGGTTCCGATGATACAGAAATCAATTCATTCGTATTTTAAATGCAATGTGTACGATAACTCGTGTCCCACATATTCCGACATAAGTATATGACTTCTATAGTTTAGCTGCCTATTCACGTTTCTTTCTCCCCTCCCCTGTTTGTTCAAGGCAGTGGTTGTCTAATTTTCATTCGAAAAGAAATCCGTTCGTGTCGTCTAGTCCAACCTGTTTCGATCCACTTGTAAGTTTCTTAAGTCAGGCTTAAATCAGCTCAATCGGATCGTTTCTTGGCAAAACTAGAAAGTTCAACAGAGATAAATCGAACTTTAAGTTCGGTTTTAGTCTTTACAAATGCAAGTATCAATCACTTTTTGTCACAGAAATGAAATTATACGTTTCCTCGATCGTTTTTCTCCATCAAAATAAAATCTTTTCACGTTGCAAATAATTCGATAAATAGTTCATTAGAGACAAAGTTAAATTCATTAAATTGATTCTCAATTATAGGGATGTCTCATTCGGTCGGCGTGAAGAGTATTTCACAGAGAGCCACGCAGGACGCAGAGATTGTTAGTATGATGCGCAAAGCTGGCGCTATTGTCACCGTTGTTAGTAATACTCCTGAATTATGTTTGCATTTCGAAAGTACCAACTTCGTTACTGGTACTACTTGGAATCCTTATGACACCAACAAAATATGTGGCGGCTCCAGCGGTGGCGAGGTTTGTATGTTTTTTAAATTCCTTTTATCTGATTATAGAATTATGATGCAATAGATGTACATGCAGTGTACTTCTCTAAGCAAAGTTGCAGAATCAATCTCATGTGATTTCATATAAAATTTTCGATTGTCCTCTTCAAAATTAAACATAATTCTTTCTCTATTTTTCTGATTAAAAATAATGAAACTCTTTCTTTCTCCCTTTCTATCTCTATTTGTAGAAAAACACAAAGGATACAGCTTCATTCTCTCGTTACTCTTATTTCTATACATATTTGCTTTATTCTTTCCATTTATTCTTAAGTAATCTAGCAAATTAGAAGCATAATCTTTTATTTTATTTTATAATCTTTTCGTTTGTGTTTTTATTCTTCTCCTTTTTTCTTTTCTTCTCTTTTTGTTTTTAATTTCATTCTAGGGAGCATTAATAAGCAGTGCCGCCTCCGTTGTAGGCGTCGCGTCGGATGTTGCAGGTTCGGCAAGATTTCCCGCTTTGTTTTGCGGTGTTTTTGGCCATAAAACCACACCCGGTAAATTGTTATATCAGCAAACACTACAAAATTCCGATGATTTCACTGTGAAAGAGAATATAACGTTTTAACGAATTAATACTTCATAATGAAAATAAATTTTTAATGTTCTTGATATAATATGCTACAGGTATAATCCCTCCAGGCGGTCATATACCAGACTTCAAATCTTCATTGAAATTTACAGTATGCCCAATGGTCAGATACGCTGAAGATCTGTCTCTGATGTTAAAGAGTATGTGTCAGTCAGAGAAAGTGCAAAAAAACCTCGAGCAAAAGGTTTGGAACTCTAATACACTATTTGTTGATTCGCAATTAATATTTTTCAATCATTTCAGTGACTCACAAAAATATTTGAGCATGGCATTGTAAATAAAAAGTCGTAAGATTAATATTCTTTGCCAAATCAATAAGTATATAGGATATCTACTACTTCAAATATCTCTTAAAAATCTCTTCATTAAGTTAATAAAATCTTTTCATATCTTCAAGAGAGATATTTGAGATAGTATATTGTATATATTTCAAACAAAGAGGTTAATAAATTGTGTGTGTTCTACACACATGCAACGAAAGAAACAATTTTAAATTGATATCATGTGATTTTTAAATCTTTACATCTCTAATAATCTCCGATTATTATCTTGATTGAGTATTTGACAGTATTTTTATTGCATAGGTGTCTTTGAAAGAGATCAGATATTTTTACTTGAACGATTGCTGCCCGATAACGAACTCTCCAAATGAAGATATGAAACAAGCGGTCAACAAGCTAAAAATATATATCGAGACAACATACAACCTGGAAGTAAAAAAGGTATTTTATGAAATTAAATGTGTGAGGAGTTCAGAGAAAGAATGATACAAGCGACAAAAAATACATTTTAGATCAGCGAAAACATGTGATTTTAGGCACCATTACCTAACATGCAATTTACGTTTGCAATGTTAATAACTTCGCTGGAAACAAAGTTCGATCTTACCGAGGAAATTGATCGTATGGTGGGTTTTCATTAGACATATTTAATCATGTTCCTGAAAAACAATCTAAATTAATCAGCGTTTAATTATGGGGCGTAGGGACCGTTCGAATTTCTCTTCGGAATGTTGAAATGCTTAATCGGCATTTCAGAAATTACGATGTCAACATTATTGTTCGTTCTGCTGAGATGGATTTGTGATAAATTACCTAAGAGCTATCATCGCTATATGTACGCCAAACAGAATGTATTGAAGAAACAATTCGAGGCGAGTTTGAAATAAAAATTCGAAACAGATGTACAGTTTTCAAAAACGCCGTACAAACTTCGATTCCAATTGAGGAAGTTAAATTAAAACTATTTTTATCGTAGGAGCTCCTAGGTGATAACGGCGTATTGATATTCCCAACGTTTGTTTCACCAGCCCTTTATCCAGGCGAATCTTACATGAATATCTGTAATATTATATATTTGTGCATTGCTAATACGCTAGCATTACCTTCTACTCATTGTCCAATGGGAATCAATAAAGCGAATCTACCTGTTGGACTTCAAGTAAGTATGTCTCGTACAATGTATAGAGCGCTTTTTTACTGGTCGACTTAAATTAAAAATTGATCAATCAGACTACCGATATATAGTAAATTTCTTCTCAATTAATGACAAAATCTAATGGACGATATTCATTTATTCAAATTCAAAAGAGACGACGTTGTTTTAAATCCATTGTATGATGAATTTTGATCATTATTTGTTTCATATAGATTATGGCAAACACAAATAATGACCATCTTACGATTGCTGTAGCTGAAGAAATTGAGAGAGTTTTTGGTGGCTGGCAGCCTCCACCGATGAGCCCGGTATAAGTTTGAATCTTTTCAATGTAAATAAAATATAATATATTATGTAATAAAATATAATTACATAATATATAATATGTATTATAATATTATTATCTTTCTTTTAATAAATAGATGATTCTATATTAATAAATATATTAATAAATAGATTTCTTTTAATAAAGGTTTTGTAAACGTATGTTATTTAATATTTATAATGTTACTTTGTTTTAATTTTGAATATACAAAACATGTTTTCAATTGCCATATTTTTATATGCAATACCCTGAATAATAATCTTGATTTGTATATATTATTTCCAGACAAATTCAGCAATTCCAATATAATAATACATAACATTTACTTCTGGTCGATAACAATAATCTCGGTACAGATAGAATATCACTTTCAGGCTATTAATGGACTAATCTTTCAGCGTTCCCCACTTTTTGAATATTCATTTTTGTATGACATATTTTATAAATCTTTATTCTGTATATTTATAAATCTATATTTGGTGTTATGATGGTACTTTGCAAGTACAAAAAGAGAAGTGAAATGAGTGTTATTTATTTATGAACATGAATGATATATATTGTTTATTTATTAAGTTCTTTTCATATCTACTAAAAGACGTACATATAATTCGCGTTAAATGTGCAATAATACATTGTAAATAAGTAAAATTATTTATACATAAACAAAGAGAGTCTTTTTTAACGATGCATTATATTACTCAAAGGAACCATGATGCTTTCCCCATTGCAGAAGTTTTTCAATTTTTGATAAATCTTGATGCCATACATTTATTTTGTTAGATGAATCAACACGCTTTTGATCACATAAGTTTTCAACATAATTTTATACTGATCTCGAATATTGGGTAACTAAGTTTATCACATTACAAGATCTGTTCCGATGCGCATCTAATTGAAATATTATATATATATACATTGCACCAGACATCAGATATCTGTACATGCATTACAGATTCGCCAATCTATAGACCTGTCACAGATCTAATTATTTTTCTATTATTATTTATAATTTTCTATAATTTTATAATGAAAAATTTTATAATTAATGACAGTATCATCAATCTTACTATATTTTCTAAATGCGTATCGTATTTTAAGAAAGGCACTGTGCTATGGGTTCACCTTCAAAGTGGATTGATACAAAAATGTATAACCTAATTAATAATCTAATTAATAATCTAATTAATAATCTATATTAAAACTATTCTCGCCTGTTGAAAACGGTCTTATTTCTTACGATCGCAAGGTGGAACATATAGTTTGCCGCCGTATTTTTCCCATTCACGATTAAATTCATGTTCTAAAACCTCGGCACCACGTTTTCTTGTTAACCCAGTCTCATCTAAGCTCAACTCGCACATTTGCATGTCATCAATACCTTCGCAAAAATGAATTTTCTTTAGGAAATGTGCAATATCCTTCGAATATGATGTTTTCAAAGACGGTTAACGTAAATGATGTATGCAGTGATTCCAAGTATTATAAACGATATATATATATATATATATATATATAAAATAAAAAAATAAACAAGGAGGAATAAGATGAATTAGAAATGAACATCTAGAATTTTACCTGCCACCAACAGAATCGGTGCCTTATCAGGATGAAGTTCCATCTGTCTGGCAACGTATTGACCGTCAAAATGAGCGTACCACCATCCCCGTTTACAAGACGCATTGGAGTTATCTTGTTGTCCGGATGCAGCTGGTCGGACAAAGGGAATCCTGAAATATCGTTGCGACGACTCGACTATAGGCTGTTTCAGATGAGACCTCGAGGTTTTAGCAGCTGAAACGACGCATCAAAATGTATTAATATGATAGCGTGCTCTACCTAACTTTTAGACAAATGAAATTCTTAGTATGTCTCACCGGCTTCCATAATAGACTTTGGTGCTCTTTCGTTTTCATCCATGGTTGTTCGCCTACGATTCCTCGCTTTCCATGCATGATAGACTTTCAATCTTCGATGAAATTCATGCCTACAGGCCTATAAAAATTACACGATAATCAGTGTTATTTTTATTATAGTTTCTTACAATCGACATGGCGTGGCAAATGACGTTTACCTCTAACAATTCGATATCACAGGATGTGTTTATTGCGTCACGTAATTCTGAATACTTCCACTTGGATAAGTCATATTTTTTATTAGCCATAGCTGCTTGATTGTTACGCACCTGCTCCGATCTATCATTTAAAAGAAAAATTAATTAACGTTATTTCCATCATATTTTACATTGGAAGGAAAACGAGATATTGTTTATTGAAGTTGTTTTTGAAGCTTGCACGTATATCAGAAGTAACATGCATTTTCTATTTCAAAACATGAAGAACAAATGGGTACCGTACAATATTATCAATTTACAAAAAATAGAAATCAGATATTATTAGTATTACAAAAAAATATGTATACATTAGTAAATTAGTTACAAAATATTAAATGTTAGTCGTACATGCAGTAAACCTCAACGAATATTACAATACCTTGCTAGTCGGTTGTTGTTTGATGGTACTCGTACACCGGAACCGCTATATATACATATTTAACAAAATAAGATCTTATTCTTTCGTTCAAAAAATTTTTTCGAATGATCAGCGAGATTAATTTCGTTATGATTTGGCAACATTTCATTAAATCAAAATTCGTTTATTATCCCGTATAGTTCGCACTACTTTCCTCCAATTAGTATTAAAATAAAAAAAAAAAAAATGAGGTAACGAATTCCAAATGCTTGAAGTTTGATAAGAGCGAAGTCTAATACAATACCTTCGCACAGGTGGTGGAGAATCTTCAACTTGTCCATTTGATTCTTGAGCTAATCTGACTGCCAATTCGTGATCTCTTCTTTCTTGTTCCAATAACTCACGATATTTACTTTCTTCCATTGCTTCTTTCTCTAACTGAGCCTTCAGAACAAGTGAGAGATATTATACAATAACGATAAATTATCAGGATATCGCTGATAAAAAGAAAAATAATCTTATCGAAAATAAAGTACTTACCTCGAAAATTTTCGCAGTCTTTTTATCTTCTTCTTCTTGCCTTTTTTTCTGTTCTTCTTCTGCCTTCCTTCTCATCTCGATATCATGTTTCTTTCTCCTATTTTCTTCTTCCTCTCTTTTCTTTCGTTCTTCTTCTTCCTTTTTCTGCTTTTCAAGCTCTAGTTCTTGTTGGATCTTCCTCAATCGTGCTTGTTCCTCAGCAATCTTCTGTTGTCTAACCATATCTTGCAACGACGCCATTTGCTTGTTCATCTGGTTCACCAAGTTCGTATATAAAGAATCGATCACCACCGGTTTTATTCTCTCATTCATTTTTATTTTCTCAATTGCCGCTTTTAAGTCATCCTGCAGCCTTTTGATATCGCTGATAGATTGTTCACGATTTTTCAATTGCTTGGAGGTTTCCTTCATACCGACTAACTGCGTACTCAGATTCTTAATCTTCATGATCCCTTTTATTCGGGGACGATGCTGCTTCTTTGCTATATACATCCTTGCTGTCTTTTGCAAAATAATTAAATGCTGCCTTCGATAAATGATCTTATTCTTCAACTTGATCACAGATAACGCGCAGAACTGCATCTTGTTCCATCGAGACTTAAGTAACCACTTCTTCACATTAGCTACCAACTTCCTCAGATTCTCAGGATCCGACTTCATGATCTTATCGAATTCAGCAAATTTTCCAGGTTTGAAGAACACCCTCGTAATACCGAACTTAAAGTCCTTCTTATTTAATTTTAAGCTATGAAGTAACGCTTCGCAAAAGAATCTCGGATCCAGTTTGGCCAATTCCGGCGGAAGATAAGACTTGTACATGTTGTATAATTCCTGGAACGGAACTCTGCTAGGATAACCATGTTCCATGAGTTCTAAAACAGACATCATTCCAGAGCAGCGAAGCTGTCCCAAAATGCTATTTCCGTCGAACTGATGATCCACCATCTCGTTATTTGGCTTTATGCAACGAATGAAATTCGTTCCCTACGAAAAGTAAGAAAAATTTGATTCATCTACTCTATAATTAGCTTCTATAAACGTTGACACAAATGATTTAAGCAACTCTCTTACATTGCTTTTTAATTTGTCCATCAATTCCCCAAGTTGCGTTTTAAATTTACTGCCAACACTGATGAAAGTGAGCTTTCCTTTTTGACAAGAATTATTGGCGAACTGCGTCCTAAGAAATTTATTGTTACTTTCTTGAATTAATGCTTCCAAGGATGCGTGCAGAGCGTCGTTGTTCTTCTCGATAAACTGATTCTAAAAATGTGAAAAATCGTTCGAGATTCTCAAAGACTAGAAAGTCAGAAAGTGAATGTAGAAAGTATATGAAATATAGAAAGCATATATGTATCACATAAAGATATCGACCATAAAGATACCTCCTATAAAGAATAAGAGTTTATTTTAATAGACGAAGTACCGTTTGATAACAAACACCACCAGCATAATGACGAATTACAAATCCTTCGTCGTCACGCAACTCTCTATGCGCTTTTAAACGAGAAGTACGCGGCAGAGTTATTCTGAAATGGCCATTCCAAACACGATGGACTTCGCTGGTAAAATGTGCGAAACTGTGAGTTGGTAATTTCGATTCTTCGTCCAAGAGGCTGAAAATTCCCATGTTTCTCGACTCGATTAGATCTGAAAATTGGATATGCAGAAAATAAATCTACATGATTTTAAACAATCAATAATTACACTTACCGATGCAGTCTTGATTGTCCACATAAGATATCTTCGGCACATCAAGGGATTCCTTTGCATAAAGATCTTGCTCGTACTTTAAAATTCTTTCGTTAAAGAACTGCTGCAGCTTTTCATTGCAATAATTTATAC